TCGTAACCACTACACTACCAGAGCTCCTTATAGTTGTTGTTAAGTGCCATTCAGTCAGTTCTGACTCACAGTGACCCTATATGTGTTTCTGAGGAGTGGCTGGTGGGTTTGAACTGCCAACGTTATGGTTCACAGTCCAGTGCTGATCCTTCAGTGCCATATATATTTATGAGCTCTGGTAGCATAATGGTTATGTATCAGGTTGCTAACTTCAAGGTCAACAGTTCGAAACTACTAGACATTCCACAGGAGAAAGATGAGGCTTTCTGCTCCCTTAAAGATTTATAGCCTCAGAAACCCTAAACAGGGTCGCTATGAGTCGGAACTGATTCCATGACACATAACAACAACAACAACAACAATAATCTCAATCTTCACTTGACCCTCCTTTTAAAAAGCATTTCTTCTTGGTCTCCATGTAAAGTTCAACCATGCCATCTATGCTAAAATAATCCTTGCATTACACACATATATATACATATACAGAGTCCTGGTATGGCCCTGTAGGATAAGCACTGGACTGCAAGGTCGATTTGAACCACAAAGTGGTAGTTTAAACTTACCAACCCGCTCCTTGGAAATCCTATTCAAGATCACCATGAGTCAGAATTAACTAGATGACATTTAACATCAACAACAAAATCATGCTTGTTAAAGTGGAGGGTCAGTGAAATAGTGGAAGACCCTCAATAACATGGATTGCCACAGTGGCAACAACAATGGTCTTACACATAACAACTGAGAGGATGGCACAGGACTGGACAGTGTTTCACTCTGTTATACACAGGGTCACTATGAATCCGGATGGTACCTAGCAACAACATATATATGGATTGCGCTGAACTAATTGTTTCTAGGACAGCTGGGAGCTCTATGAATCTACCATTCCCTACTCTACTGAGAAAATTAAAGACATTAAACATTTCTGTCTTCCCTCTTTCGTATTTCATAACATTGTTTCTGTATGCACCCTTCCTTCCTCCTCTCTTTTTTCATGACAGGGTCATGCATCCTTCTTTCCTTTGCTTAGATACCCCAACATCTGTATGCGCCATCCCACGTCCACCTTCTTTTTTCTAGGACCTACCCATCCTCATTAGTATCATGACTCACACTCTCTGCAACTTCTTTCAAACAAACACACATACATATCTTTCCACTCTTAAAAAAGGAAATCTTCATCTGACCCTCCTATCCTCACTAGTGGAAGGAGCTCTGGTAGCGTAGTGGTTACAAATCGGGCTGCGAAACTTAAGGTCAGCAGTTCGAAACTACCAGCTGTTCCACGGGAGAAAGATGAGGTTTTCTGCTCCCATAAAGATTTACAGCCTCGGAAACCCTGTGCAGGGTCACTATGAGTTGGTTCCGACTCCATGGCACATAATCACCACCATCCTCACTAGTGGAGTCCTGGTGTGGCCCTACTGTAAGGTAAGTACTAGGCTACTAACCACAAGGTCGGTGGTTCAAACCCACAAGCTGCTTCTCAGAAAACCTATACAGGGTCTCTATGAGTCAGAACCGACTCAACAACACTTAACAACAAGTGAAGCTCCCTACCTTAACTCTAAATAGGCTTAGTTTATGTTCTAGCAATACCTAATTTCAGTGCCCAGTGCTTAGACCTCTGCTTGGAGTGGCTTTCCCCAACATTTGTCTACATGTTGAAGGTTTTTGTGTTTTTATGCATGAAGTTTTCATGCATCTTTTCATCCTAAGGTCATTGCCGTGCTTGAGTTTCCTTCTTAAAAGCTTTTCTTGTTTCCATCTAAAATCCAGTCTTAACATTTGTGCTAAGAATGAGCCTTGCATACACTTCTAATAAATCTCCTGAGGACAGAAGAGGAGGTTCTTTGAGGGAAGGTCCTTTTCTTCTACTTCAGCATTTAACTACAGGGAATATTGCCCTGCAGGTAAGAAGCACTTTTTTCACTGGTTGTCGTTGTTATTGTTAAGTGCCATAGCGACCCAGTACAGGGTTTCTGAGGAGCAGTGGCTGGTGAGCTTGAAAGGCTGACCTTGCAGTTCAAACTGACCTTGCAATCCAGTGCATTCACTAATCCTCAGCACCACACCAAGACTTTAATTCTCTGGGGAGGGAGCCTTTTCCCTGCCTCTGTCTCCAGCTCCAATACAATGGAAATGTCACGTTAAAAATACCATTATTAAAAGTCTACAAAATGGCAATGCATTGGAGTATACTATGCTGGTGCTGTTGTTAAGTGGCGTCGAGTCGGCTCAGACACACAGCGACCCTGTATAGGATTTCTGAAGAGCAGCTGGTGAGTATGAACCACCGACCTTGTGGTTCAAACTGACCTTGCAGTCTAGTTCTTATCCTACAGTGACACACCAGGATTCCTGAGTCTATAATAGTGGAATGCAATACCTCCTCCATGCCCTTCATTCATTCCCAAAGAGAAGGAATATACTGTGATTTAAAATTTTTAATGGGCCAAATATTAACCAGCCTCCATTATGCAAACTGATTTTAAAATTGTCCTTGTCATGGAAATACAGGTGCATTCAAATCCACACCCAGATAAGAAAGGACAGACAGAAGTATAGAGTTCACTGTAACAAAGCTTGCCAAGACAGGAGGAGTTCCTTGTGATAATCTTTAAATGTACAACATTTTAGACACAGTTTGAACATGCTCATCATTGTCTAAGAAATCTTACACAAAACAGGTTACATATGGTGAAGCCTACTCACAGAAAACAAAATCCAGCTGGATTTATTAATGAAAACCCACACTAGAGTGTTCATAAATTAATAAATAAATATGCAGCAAGGCAACTCAGTCACAGACAGCTAGAGACAACAGCCTTGAGTCAAATCAGACCACAGAAGTAGTTTCCATTTAAAATACATTAGGATGCTTAAAAAATAAAAAATAATAATTCAAAAGGTCTTTTATGCACGGCTTCCGGAACATGTTTTCTCATAATAAAAGCTTGTCAGCTTCTTCTAGTTAAGGAAGTTGACATGGGAAAAATGGTATTTCCTTGATTCTAAACTATACCAGTTCTAGAGCTAAACAAAATCCAACTTAATTAATTCTATTTTTGTTCTAGTTTCCAAGGCAATTTTCACAAAGACTATTTTCAGTCCTCTGTTTCTCGCTCTGTAACTTCAACCTTCAGTAGCTGGAAACTGTTACCTTTTGTGTAATTCCTTGAAAATACATTCTATCACAGACACTCATTCCCCACCCCTACTCATTGTCAAAGGTAGAAAAATGGATTCTGTCATTCCATTCATTCTAAAGTTTCCATCCTACAATCACCATTAAGTTTTTCACTGCATGCATATTGTGTGATAATGTTCCTACTAGGGCTTTGTAACATGGATCACATCAGTCCCTGAGTCTCAGTAAAAGTACAAACTAGAAAAGCAATCAGGAAGTTTAAGTTCTAGTTCCAAAAGGGCACTGACTTGACCTTGGGCAAGATACTTCATTTCAGCATTTCATATTGCAATTGTTGTTGTTGTTAAGTGCTGCTAAGTCGGTTCTAACTCAAAGTGACCCTGGATAGGGTTTCCGAGGAGTGGTTAGTGAGTTTGAACCACCGACACTGCAGTTCAAATCGACCTTGTGGTCTAGTGATTATCCTATAGCACCATACCAGAACCATACCAGGTATGATACCTGTTTCCAAGACAGAGGCTTCTACGATCGTTTTAAGTGCTTTGAGCTTCCCAAATAAATGGAATTTTATAAACCAAGTTTTATAAAACAGAACATTCTCTTGTACAATGTCCTAAACTGACAAATTCAGAAGGTCATAAAACTGTTTCCTCCAGAAGTTCCTACTTATGCCACTTAATTCTCTAAAAAGCCCCAAATGTGATTATTTTCGCTTTAAATAGTGAAGTTAACACGTACTTATTCTTAAATGTGATGCAAGGGTAATAATCTAGTTTTAAAAAAAAAGAAAAAGGAGTGAAAAAATGCTCATGAATTAGCGTGCCAGGTTAAATAGTATCTACTGGTAGACAGAAGAACTGCACTGGCTTTTCTTGAAATCAGAAGACGCTGGAAGATTACAATTGTGTCACGCGTATGATACTCTCTAACCTCCAAAGTCTATTATATTGAAAAAGGGCAGAGGGGCAAAAAGTGCTGATGGGATAGCCTAAGAAGCCAAGCCTCCAGCGTCAGGATCCAATAACATATCAGAAACAAAGGTGCGTGTCTTAAGCTTAGTCCTCCGGAACTTGGTCCCTCTACTCAGCAGAGAACTGTAGTGCTAGCTAGCTACCAGAGAGCTGCAGCTCCCAAAGTGGCAGGTTCCATCCTGGCTCTAGTGTCTGCCCCAGATTCGGGGAGAAGGATCGGACTAGAAAGATGCTAAATTGTAGCCAAGTTGAAATTGCCCAGCTATCCCAGGCAGTTGTCACCGGCATTCTGGGAAGCGCGCCGTCACCGAGGGTCGGGTTCTTGACCAAAAGGAGTTAAATGCAGTCAGGCCAGGAGGGAAGAAGTCGCAGAAGGCAGTGCACAACTTCGCCTGACATTCCGTGGGCCCCAGGCTCGCTCCCAGGTGTCCCCGCCCAACCCAGGACCAAGCCAGATGCAGGTGTGCACCTCTCGCGGCTCTACTTACTTTGTCGCTGGTGCTCTCGATTTCATGGTCGCCGCCAGCCGCCTCTCCTTCGCGGGGCGGCGGTGCCACTGATCCCCCGGGGCCGGGACAGCCTCCCCGGTGCCTCAGCTCCGACATCTCCCGCTCCCGCGTGGCCATGACGGCCTCTTTCAGCGCCCCGAAACCCGAGTTGCGCGCGGGGTCCGCTGGCTCGCCGCCTTGCCACCCAACAGGCGCGCAATCGAGGTCCAGTACTGCCGCAGCCACTAGCACCCCACTACCACGGAGCGGGGGGAGCCGCCGCCGCCACTAGCCAGATCACCCCCAAAACGGCATCAACGAGCGAGCGCTCGAGGCCGCCTCCAGCGAGCGCAGCGCCGACCGACCGAGGGCGGGCAGCGGGCGCCGGGGGCCGCCTTGGGGTGCGGGGCAGGCTCGGGGCGCCCGGCCCGAGCGGAGAAGGCGGGGACGCGGAGGAGCGCGGCAGCCGGTTGCCAGGTGCGCGTCTCCACGCAAAGGCCCAGGTGGGAGGGGAATAAGGGGCGGGTAGCGAAGGAGGAAGCGTAACCCGCTTTAGCAATTCGCACGGCGCCGGTCGCCTCAGTCGGCCACTCCCCGCCCCGCCTCTCGGAGCCCGACTCCGGAGTCGGCAGGTCCGGGCCTCCCTCCACCTTTCTCCGGGTCCCAGCCTCCTGCAGCCAGGTCACGCGCAGAAGCCCCACCCCACCCCGCCCCTCTGCGCTGCACTGCGGTTCCCTCAGCCCCGCCCCCTTTCCAGAGGGGTGACGTCAGGAGGCCCGACTCCACGACTCCGCCCCTTTCTTGCACGCAAGCAGGTGCGGGCCTGAAGATCAAATGGGAGGGGCGCAGGCTGGAAGACAAGGGGAGGAGTTGGGAGGTGGGAGAGGTGCGCAGCGTTTCTTAAGAGAAGAACTTAGAGACGCCAGAGTAGTTGGAAGAGTCTCCTAGGCAGTATTGAAAGAACTCAGAGTTACCCATTCAAATGACTCTACGACCTCATCAACTTGACACACAGCGGCGTGTCGGGGCTTCAGAGGCGTCCAGAAGCAGAAACTTGTCTGTCAGGACAGACTCGTTGGCTTTGTGGCATTCCTTTTTTTTTTTTCTGTCTCTCCGGGTCATCACCTTGAAAATAGGATCTTAGTCCCGGATGGGCTGGCCAAAGTTGAAATCACAAGCTGTCTCCCAGAAGTCTAGTATTCAATCTCACACATTCACTGCCTATCCTCCGAAGAAAGACTGCGATGCTCTGCGGTTCAAATTGCTAACCAGCTAGTCTCTGAGCAAGCAGGGACCTTGGACGGTTAAAGCTGAAACAGGAAGGGCACAATATCCGCATTAATTCCATTCCAAATCCTGCTAGAGGGTGATTAGTTTTCTTGACATGTATTAGATATCTGGTCATTACGGACAAGGTGACAAATGGGGGATGGGGAAATAGGCAAACTTTCACAAAACTAGGACAATATTCAGGAAGGAATCCTTATATAAATCAATCAACAATACACATTTCTCAAAGTCATGGCTGACACCATGAAAATTAGTAACGAGTTGTGAAAATTTTAAAACAACCAAAAAATGAAATTTGAAATTGGATGCACAAAAGAGACAGCGTTAGGACATCGATTACAAGGCCTCTTTATAAAGTTCTGGGTTCAGTTTTTCCTCGCTTACATTTTAAAAACGATATAGAGAAATTGGTCAGCCTTATGGGGAGAATAACAAAAATAATTAAAGATATGAAATAAGTCTTATGAGTGATGAACTTGGTGTCGTTTTCCCTAAGGAGTAAAACACGGTGGAGTAATTATGCCACACAACTGTTCTCCATTTCTTTGAAGAACCAGAAATGAAGGATTTCTTCATTGTCAAGAAGATAAGATTGAGACTCTACAGAGGCTGTAGTGGGTTTCTGTCTCTGACTCTATCACCACCAACAACAACCCCTTCCCCTCAGCACAAAAGGGCATTTGAAGGACTTAATGGGTCCAAACCTCCTGGACGTCAGGAAGCCTGAGCTCTGTCCCCATCTATGTTACTCATTGGAGTGCTGGTGTGGCACTGTGGGATAAAGTACTGGACCACAAGATCTGTTTAAACAGCAAGGTCAGTGGGTCAGACCCACCTGTCGCTCCTCAGAAACCCTATATTGAGTCGCTATGAATAAGAACAGACTCGATGGCACTTAACAACAACAATGTTACTAATTAACTCAGTCTTGGTGTGGTGCTGTAAGATAAGTAATGGACTGAAAGATCAGTTTCAACTGCAAGATATTGATTTAAACCCACCAGTTTCTCCTCAGAAACCCTATATAGGGTCGCTATGAGTCAGGACCAACTCAATGGCACTTAACAACAACGTTATTAATTGGGAGAACAGTGACATTGTAGAATAAGCAATAGACTTGGAAATTGGACTTGGACCAAGTTTGGCTTGGACCAAGGCTTAGACCACCAGTTACTTTTTGGCAAAAAGATGAAGCTTTGTGCTCCCACAAAGATTTATAGGCTCAGAAACCCTATACAGGTTTTCTATGAGTTGTAACTGACAGCGCTTAACAACACCCTGCTATTAATTAGCTATGTGGCCTTAAATTTCAATTTCCCAAGCTATCAAATGGAAACAGCCTCAGAAACCCAAAGAAGCAGTTCTATGCTTCCTATAGGGTTTCTGTGAGCTGGCATGGTTCATGACAGTAGGTTCGGTTTGGGATTTTATCAAGTCGAAAGTATAGAGGATATCCTCTGTGGTCCCTTACAGCTCACATATGAGTCTGCAACTAAAGTCTTGCTTTATCAGAATCCAGCCCTTCCTTTTCACCAGGCCTCAAGACAAGCAGATCAAACAAAGTAAAGCACCTGACTGGTTTCCTCCTTTCTCTTCTTACAATCAACCTGCTAACTCCTTTGAATTTCTTTTGCTGCAGGAGAGAGAGAGTGAAAGGAGTGGTGGAGGAAGAAACAGAGGACAACAGGGTATGACAGAAGAAATAGTATTACAGAGCCTAAGAAAAGGGGAACCAGGGTAAAGGCTTACCAAATAGGGTGGTTTACTACTTTATTTGACCCTCAAGTTCTGTCTAGTTCCTATATTTCAATTTCTTGTTATTTCTTTCACAGTCATTCTCATTATAGTTATTCCCACTAATGGAGTGATTAGACTGAGCCCACCAAACCAAATCAGTTTTTTCATCTTTACACCCAAGCTCTTGCCACAGTGCCTGCTCCCACACCCATATATTCAACAATATTTGGTTACAAAATGAATGAAGAACTGAATTACTGGCAATTGTATAGAATATCCTGGGAAAGATAATGTATAGACTTTTTAATTTTAAAAAGGTCTGCATTGGGTTTTGAATCTCTGGGTTAACAAGTGTAGCTGCTAACTGAAAGGTCAGGGATCTATTGAAAAATTAACTATTGAAAACTCTGTGGAGCACTGTTTTTACTTTGACACATGCCACATGCTGAAACTGACTCAAGGTCAACTAGTTTAGCATAATAATACATTTTAGTTAAGATATTCAATACAATAAAACCTGCAATTGATGCATTTGAATTATGGTGTTGGAGAAGAATATTAAAAGTACCTTGGAGGTCCAGTAGAACAAACAAATCTGTGTTGGAAGAAGTACATACAGAATGCTCCTAAGAAACCAGGATGGCAAGACTTCATCTCTCATACTTAAAACATGTTGTGGAAGGGACCACTCCCTGGAAAAGACCATCAGGGTAGGTAAAATGGAAGGTGAGCAGAAAAAGAGGAAGACCCCCCCCCAAGGAGATGGATTGACACAGTAGCATCAACAATGGGTTCAAACGTAGAAACAATAGTGAGGATGACATAGGACCTTGCAAAGTTTTGTTTTGCTGTGCATCGGTTTTCGATGAGTCAGAACTTGATAGCACCTAACAACAACAAAATTCTGCAAAAGCCAGAAAATGTGTAAGTAAAAAACCTGTCAGAAAAAGAAAATTAGAAAATTGTTGTTAAATGCTGCCAAGTCGATTCTGACTCACAG